TTATTTGGAAACCGAGTAGAATGTGTTATTGGATGAGTATTTATTAGATCATTAGTTCGATCGATTTCCACTGATAGAAAATCCTTCTGGAAAATAAAATATATTTATTTGATAGTAATTAAAATTTGCTTAACGATTGTTCGTCTATTACCACGAAGACGTCGATCAAACTATAAATAACTTTCCCTTGATTAGAAAAACAATTTAGTATACCGTAATGGTAAAACGGTGAAATGCCATTTTTTATATTATTTGGAAACCGAGTAGAATGTGTTATTGGATGAGTATTTATTAGATCATTAGTTCGATCGATTTCCACTGATAGAAAATCCTTCTGGAAAATAAAATATATTTATTTGATAGTAATTAAAATTTGCTTAACGATTGTTCGTCTATTACCACGAAGACGACGAGCAAACTATAAATAACTTTCCCGTGATTAGAAAAACAATTTAGTATACTGTAACGGTAAAATGGTGAAATACCATTTTTTATATCATTTGGAAACCGAGTAGAATTTGCCAGAATGATAGTTTTCGTTTATTTAATATTTGGTTAATACGCTTGGTTTCCTTGGCACCATTCGACGCGGAGCCCTGAACGGAATCGATAGCCGGATCACGGTCCCGTTCGACGGTTCTAGTCACGGGGCCACGAGCGTGAAGCAGACCTTATGCAATAATTTTTCCTACAAATCGAGGTGCAACAAATGTAGGAGCCCCGTGCCTGTTCCCTGGCAAATAATGAGGCCAGTGAAAGGCCAGAAAGAACCCCGACGTAAGGGCCGATCGCGGTAGTCACGTTTGCCGAACATGTGATCGGACCTTTTTTCCCCCTCCTCTCCTCTGTTTCTGCACCATGACTGGTTTCGCAGATTTTGTGTCAGCAAATCGCATGACTTTCTCGACGATGGTTTAATCGGCCAATGGGCCGAGGCCGTTTGAGAAATGCGCTTTTGCAATTACGTGCAGCGTTATGCAGCCGCTTACCAGGGAAGTGAACATAACAGAAGGGTCTGGTAAGACGCATGACACAGTTTAGGCGAACACGTCTCTCGCGGAGGAGGTAGACTCGTTTCGTTGCATTCGGTCTTATGTATATTGGTCGGTGGAGATAAAATTTTATTTACTACACGTTTACCGTTATCCTACTGTTGGTTTTGGAATTTTTTTTCTCTTTTAGAATTCACCTGCGTCGAATTTAAACGCGAAAACTACGTCATGAACGTTTCAGGAATGCAAGTCTCATCGGACTCTGAAGTTTCCTTGTTCTTTCATGGAGACTTTTGGAATTTGAAATGTATTTCCAAACGATTAGATCGAAATTTCGAATATTCTTTTTGTATAATATCATCATAATTGATATACTATTTATACATGTATAATACATAAATTACATGAATTAGATCATCGAGATTAAAATATCTTCTAAACTAATGGTTTTTCAACATAAATAGCTAAATATTTTTTTATGGAATCCATTAGCATAATTAAAAATGAAATGCACTTTTGCAATTACGCGCAGCGTTATGCAGTCGCTAGGGGGAAGTGAACATAACAGAAGGGTCTGGTTAGACGCATGACACGGTTTAGGCGAACACGTCTCCCGTGGAGGAGGTAGATTCGTGTCGTTGCAATAGGTCTGCACCGTCACATACTGTGATGCAACGCCTGATCTATTAATTTGTATTGCAAACTATTAGAAAAGGTTCAGAACAACGGAAAATACTTCCTTAAATTTATTTTATATACTCTAATGATTATGATATCTATCAAAAGCATTCCAATATTATCACAAGTGTGGTTGTATTTTATCATAATCATGACAATTTCTCAATTTCCAAGTATTGCTTATTATATTAGTTGAATTTTTGTCTTTTTAAAGCAAGTTTTCCAATATTATTTTAACTGTGGTTGTATTTTATTGTAACAAGAATAATGATACAGTTTCCAAATATTGCATCTTATATTGGTCGAATTTTTATTTAAAGCAAGCTTTCCAATATTACTTTAACAAAAAATTATTTTTGGTTGCGGGGGTCAATTACAATCATTTTTGGTAAATACACATACCTCCAAAATCCTACCCAGTCTCGAGAAAAAAATTCGTTACCGGAAATATAATGTCTGATCATGAATGAATGATTCCTCTGAAATTTCATGTGTTCCAAATCGTTCTAAAAAAATTATTTTTAGTTGCAGCAGTCGATTACAATCATTTTTGGTGCATAGACATACCCTCGAAATCCTCCGCACTTTCGAGAAAAAAATTCCTAAACGAAAATATAATGATGTATGGCCAGAAATGTACCCCGGAAATTTCTTGCAAATCTTTAAAATATCATAAGTCCTGAATGGATTGGACGATTTTAATGTTTCAAAATGCAAATGATGCGTATTTTAGTGAAGAATATGTAGAAAATCCAAAAATAATCGAAATATTGATCCTTGATCTCGCAAAATGATGAAAACCCCATAAAAATGGTCCAATTTTCAAACAGCCATAACTTCGACAATAGTGAATATATTTCAATGAAACTTTTGTCTGAAGTAGAGTTTATAGGTACCTACAAAAAAGTATTAGACAACTTTTCCACAGGACGTCAAATAAAATTACTAAAAATCAAAAACGAATTTTTAAGAAAAATCGACCCGGGCGTAGTGCTGAAATCTTTTGGTGAAAAAAAAAATTTCAAATCGTTCTGGAAAAATTATTTTCGGTTGTGGGGGTCAATTACAATCATTTTTGGTCATTAGACATACCCTTGAAATTTTACCCATTTTCGAGAAAAAAATTCAAGGTGTGAAATTTTTCGACAAAATTAAAAAATTTAAAATCGTTCTAAAAAAATTCTTTTCAGTTGCAGGGGTCAATTACAATCATTTTTGGTGAAGAGCCACACTCCCGAAATCCTATCCATTTTCGAGAAAAAAATTTAGTACGGGCGGAACTTTAAACGTTAATAACTTTTTAACGAAGCCTCAATCAACAAATTGGTATTCTTGATTTTCGTCCTACTTTGGCCTCTAGATTCTCCTATTACAATTTTTCCCAGGGGTGGCCGAACATCCTGTATAGTTTACACTTATAGATTAAAATCGAGCACTCTCCACAGGGTGTTTCAGTACATCGTGGTGCAACCGACAGAGGGCTGATTCTACGTCAAAAAATGAGTCAGAAATTTGAAATAAATTTTTTTCATACGGGACTTTGTTTTCGAGAAAATCAAGTTTGAAGATTCGTGGGGCACACGTGCAATAAAACACGAATTAGATATCAGTATAAGTAGAAATAGTAAATAATGAACAGACGCGTATCCCACAAATTACTATATTTTAATAGTGTATTCTACACTTAATATTGAACACAATTTATTTATTTGGAAGTTGAAAACCATACATTGAATACTAGCGCAACTTACGTCTTTCTAATTAAAAACAATATTAATTTATAATAAACACAGTTTCAATTAGTGACTCATCAACGATGTTTGTTTTGAAGATATCATTCTATATTTGGAGATATTAATGGTTAAATATTTGAACAATTTGAAAAGTCCAAAGCAATTCTGCTGTAAACAATGAATTATTACTAGACTGCGGATGTTTATGCATTTATGGGAAATTTTAATCCTCAAAAAACTACAGAATGCATTTAATATGCAAAAATATAAGAAATACTTAAAGTAAGATACGAATTATTATATTTAGGGGGCTTCCATTTCATTAATTTTATTAATAAAAATATGAATTTGCATAAAGATCCGCAGTCTAATTATTACATTGTCTTAGAAAATTCATTTGTTAACCTACAAGATGTTCCCGTTTTAAAATTATTCTCTAAAACCAATACTGGATCACGTATTTTCAGTTATTTGGTTAAATTTGTTTTTGAACTTTGATAAATGAAAATTGTTTAAGTAACAAATAATTGAAACATTAACTCTTTCTCCTATGTAGGACTCAGTTGTCATCTCAAATAGTTGTGTTTAATGTCGTTTGATTTGTCTTATATTTGAATTTTTCGTTATTTTTCTTAAAAAAATTCAATTGGTTCTACTATTTACTATTCAGTTTATCATTTCTCCAATGTTCTGTGATGTTTTTTGAAGAATTAATTACTTGAAGAAATACATGATGGCCAATTTAGTTTTCTCCTTACCAATTCTTAAATATACTTTATTTTCCACATATGATTGAACATCTGTGAAATGATCCAAATTCAGAAACTTTCTGTATAGAGATACTCATATGCATGACGTATGTATTGCATAAAAGCTAAGCCAGTGCAGGAGGGCAATTAACGTGACTGGATAAGCATATATAGTAGTTTCGTCAAATTATGGTCAGACATTATGGACGCTTTTCTACTAGAAAGCCCGAGAGAATGCTCTTGGATCATTAATGGGGCTGTAACATATTCTCAAATTCTCAACACATTTGCAATTGACATTTTAGTCCCAAAACATTAGTAACATTAATAATATTTATAATTATAACAACATTAATAAAGTTTGATGGCTGTTTAATTACATTTATATTTTCCCTTATTGTAATAATGAAATGTTAATTTACAATAATAAATTTAATATAAATGAAGCAATGTGCAATAACTTGGAATAATATGCTTTACCCATTATTTAAGCCTGCCTCTCAGGCTTTATTCCCTTTTTTTTCCTTGCACTTTATTGCAATTAAGCCATACTGCACAATCTTTATATTTTTCATTCGAACGTTGAATAATTATATCTAACCTTTCTAAGTCGTTTCTTGTCTAAATGTTGCTGATCGGACGAAAATCAATTTCAAGTGTCTAGTATAAAGACTGAACGACGTAATATTGTCTCAACTATATTATATTAAAAATACTAACTAAATAATTATGAGATGTTGACATCATAATGTTACGAGTTGTAAGATTGGCTCGAACGAAATATAATGTCCATAAGACCACAAAGAGCCAACAGTGAATTAATGTTCCATATTTATCGTATGTTTCAGCAGTGACAGCTCAATCTCGAGAAACAGCAACCATTCCGCAAGTAGCGGTTATTGCGGACGGCGTCCTTCGACATTTGGATCCAGGTAACACATCGTTCAAATTACCTTCAAATTACCTATCGCCGATCACTCGAGAAAAGGGGCACACTTGTCGCGAGAAAAGCAATCGCGATGCTGGTTGATTATTGCGTGCAAAGCCTTCCTCGACTTTCCCTCGGCAGAGTAAAAGTTCGCGTTGATCATCGCCAACGAGCGAATCCAACAACACAAATAATTGACGATTTAATTACGACTTCGATTGTAGAAAATAAGAGCAAGGAATCCAGTGGAAAGTTACTTTGTCTCTGCTGTCGACTAGCTTTACGTAAGGGGCAACTAAGAAAGAGTTCCCGATCACGTTTTTGTCGCATAACATTCAGAAAAGATAGATAAGACTATTTAATATCATAAGTAGACTGTGGGAAAAGTTTAATTCGAATAATAGATAATCGACAAAACCAACGTATAATAATTTATTCGACCGAACAGTTGAATTTGTGTCTGTTTGTTGGAAACGGATAAACGTTTATCTGTTAATCGTTATTCGAAATTTATATCGAAAAATAAGAATTTTGCCCATCTCGAGGAGATAATAAAAAAAAGGCAATGTAATAACTGTAATAACAGTGGATCGACATTGCACGTTAACGTGAACTAGTCAAGCGAAACGTAGTCTCCAATAGAAGAGAAAGAACGTTATAATTTGCATAACGAGTCAACAACGATAACAGAACTATAATAGAGGGCTCACCTGAGATTACTTCTGCATATAATTACGATCAATTTTTAGAAACGGTTACGTAAGACTTACTCCATTCAGATTACGATCGGTGAATGCTTTTCTTCACGGTCGGTCATCGAAGGAATTTTTATCTTTCTCTTTGTGCTTAAGGAGTTACGTCACTATACCAGTGACAAAACAAACGGTATATTTACGAGTTTTGTACGATAATCTTACATTATGAATGTTGAATTCTGCATTAGATATAAAATATAAGATATGGTGAGATCAGTATTTGGGTAAAATGTAATTTTGCAATAAGACACAATTGCAGAAACGAAAATAAACATTTGATTGATATAAGGCGTTAAGATATCTCGAAATCTACCCAATCGATTACTTTGAAATTTTATAGATATCTTTACTATAACATTTACTCAAGAATGACGTAGCCATTTTTTAAAAATCTTAATTATTTTGGAAAACATACAAATTTTTCGTCCAAATTCGACTTTTCAAATACAAATAGTTGCCATTTTGACAATTTTCACAAAAACCAAATTTTTCGAACGTCAATCCCTAGAGAATATTGTGGGATCGGGAAGATAATGACTCCGCTCTGTTCCGTTCCGCACAATTTTATTGTTGCTGTCGTACAACGACGTGACTCGTGGTGCGGGTTACGCTCGACTCTCTGGTACGATCATCGCCACCGTACCAAGAGGCCTTCAAAAACAAAAGACGGTCAGAGACGACGACAACGGCTTTTCGGCTCACGCGGCTCTGGTCGTCTCGTGTGCAACCATCGTCTCGTGTGCAACCATCGTCTCGTGTGCAACCATACATTGTAGCGGCTTCGAACGGCTAAGGCGTATGTGGTGCCTTGGCCGCCACACTACCCCCCTGCCAGTAATTGGCACAATTACGAAAAATTGACCGACTACATTACCACTACCATTTACTCTATTATATAAAATACGTTATCCTAACTAAGATTTACATTACAGTATTTGAACAGAGTTGAAAAAAAAAGGAATTTACATGGAGTTTAATATATAATACGTAATACCTAAAAATACATGAAAGTACATAAAAGTGATGGAAAAAAATAAATGGTATATGATACTTATTATAATAATGCGCAAGCCTTAAGTACTACCGCGTAATTTGAAATCGCTCGGGAAAACGTACGCGTCTACCTGAACGCGTGACACGTTGTTGTATAACCGGCGCATTGTCAGGTACGTTTGTTTGTGTGACCGGCTGATTTTCTATGCTCACGGGATCCGGTCTGTTTTCTGCTAGCATATAAGCAGGCTTTAGCCTTTCAATTGATATATTTATTTCCTTACCTCTAATGTTTATTGTAAATGTTTTTTCGCCTCGGCGCACTACGGCGTATGGACCTTCATAAGCGGGTTGTAAAATAGTTTTGGCTGAATCTGTTCGGATGAAAACATGTGTTGAACTGCTAAGATCTTTGAAAACGAATGTACGATTAACGGAATGGCGTGATGCATTAGAGGGACTCAATTTAGAAAAATGGTTGCGTAGTCTATTAGTAAAATCGGAAGCATTTTCTGTGCTTTCCGCTGAATGCGAAGACAAGAACTCTCCCGGTAATCTTAATGGCTCGCCATAAACTAATTCCGCTGAGGTAGCGCCGAGGTCTTCTTTCCAGGCGGAACGAATACCGAGTAGAACCGTCGGAAGTATTTCTGTCCACTTGTCGGATCCGTGGCACCTTATAGCCGACTTGAGCTGTCGGTGAAAACGCTCTACCATCCCATTGGCCGCTGGGTGATACGCCGTTGTGCGAAGGCGTGTGGATCCAATTAAATTGTTCAGCGCAAAAAATAATTTGGATTCGAATTGCCTACCCTGATCGGTGGTAATCCGTACGGGAGCACCAAACCGCGCTACCCAACCGTCATAAAAGGTTCGAGCTACGGTTTGGGCCTCCTGATCGACCATGGGGAAGGCTTCCGGCCACCGCGTATATCTGTCTACACAGGTCAGACAATACCTGAAACCTTCGGACACCGGTAAAATTACTATGTCTAAATGAATGTGTTCGAATCGCGCAGAAGGTTTAACAAATGTAGCCAATGGTGCAGTCACATGACGGGGAATTTTTGATCTTTGGCACGGTATACAGCAACGTGTCCACGTGCGAACATCTCTTTTAATCGACGGCCAAACATAACGTTGCGTTATGAGCTTGATCGTCGCGTTAATACCTGGATGTGATAATACATGTAACATATTAAAAACTGCGCGTCGGAAAGGAGGGGTGACATAAGGTCTTACATTCTTAGTCGAAATATCGCAAAAAATTTCGGAAGACGTGCCAGGCAACGAGACTTTACGTAATCGCAGGCTAGATTCGCTATTCAACAACCGCTGCAACTCCTCATCCTGGGCTTGCGATTTTGCCAATTCTTCGAAATTAATCGAGTGGTTAACCGTTTCCACTCTGGACAGTGCATCGGCAACGACGTTGTCTTTACCGGAAATATGTTGAATATCTGTAGAGAATTGCGCAATGTAATCTAGGTATCGGAATTGTCGAGGAGAGCATTTATCTAATTTCTGTTTGAAAGCGAAAGTTATGGGTTTATGGTCTGTAAAAATCGTGAAATGTCTGCCTTCGAGCATATGTTTGAAATGTTTTATTGCTAAATAGATAGAAAGTAGTTCCCGGTCGTAAGCTGAATACTTCTTTTCGGCAGATCCTAATTTCTTAGAAAAGAATGCTAATGGTTGTCGTTCGTTGCCGACGTACTGATGTAAAACAGCTCCTACGGTGTAATCAGAAGCATCGCAGGTAACCGACAACGGAGCGTTGACCGCAGGATGAGAAAGCAGGGTTGCGTTTGCTAAACTATTTTTAGTATTTTCGAAAGCCTGACGCGCTTCCGAAGTCCAGGCTATCGGGGTCTTGCCCTTTAAATTGCCGGCTAGAAGATCGTTCAAGGGTGCTTGAAAGCGAGCGGCATCCAGGATAAAACGGCGGTAAAAATTAAGCATTCCCAAGTACTGCCTCAAATCCTTCGCGTTTTTCGGAAGGGGAAATGACTTTATGGCTTGTACCTTGCCGGGCAAAGGTTGAGTGCCGCTTTCATTTACCCGATAGCCTAGAAATTTAACTTCTTCCTGTCCGAACGTGCATTTATTCGGATTAACAACAATGCCATAATCTTTTAATCGTTTAAATAATAATTCTAAATGGCGCAGGTGATCGGCTTGGGATTCTGAGGCGACCAAAATGTCGTCTATATACGCGTAACAAAAATCGAAACCGCGTAAAATTTCGTCGATAAAGCGCTGAAATGTTTGCGCGGCATTTCGTAACCCGAACGACATGTACGGGAATTCAAAAAGCCCGAACGGCGTTGTAATGGCCGTTTTTCCGACGTCTTCCGACGCAACCGGAATCTGATTATAAGCTCGGACGAGATCTATTGTGGAAAATACCTTTTTGCCACTCAGTTGTTGCGCAAAATCCTCAATGTGACGCACGGGGTATCGGTCGGGAATTGTCCGTGCGTTTAACGCTCTATAGTCACCGCAAGGCCTCCAAGCTTCTTCGCCCTTCTTCGGAACCATATGAAGGGGTGCTGACCACGCGCTCTTCGAAGGACAAGCGATGCCCATCTTCACCATCGCGTCGAACTCCTTCTGGGCAGCCCTGAGCCGGTCCGGTGCAAGCCGCCGCGGCTTGCTGGAAACGGGTGGTCCAGGGGTTGTCTCGATGTAATGCACCGTTTGGTGCGTAGTCCTCATCGGGGTGCCGCTAGGCCGTGTAAGTTCCGGCATCTGCATCAGGAGCTGGTGGTAAACGGTAGTCCCTGCTACTGTCTTCACCGACGGCGTTTCATCCTCGGCTCGTGTTCCGCGGACCGTTAACGACGTGGTCCGATCGACGAGGCGACGATTGCGGATGTCCACCATAAGATCGAAGTGATCGAGAAAGTCTACCCCGATTATGGGTTTTGTAACATCCGCAACCACGAATCGCCACACGAAATCCCGTCGTAGGCCGAGGTGCAGGTTTAACGACACTGTCCCGTAGGTGTTAATTACACTCCCATTCGCCGCCGCCAGCTGGTACTCCGATCTTTCTCGCAATCCGCCTAGCAGGCGGCGCGGAAAAACGCACAAATCGGCCCCGGTATCCACTAAAAATTCCGTCTTCGAGCTGTTGTCTAAGATGAAGAGGCGGCGTGATGCTGGATTTGTGTCGCTGGCCGCCATCAACGACTCCCCAGGTCGTTTCCCTGATCCGTGGCGTTCCAATTGCACGGTGCAACGCACCTCTGCG